GGAAAAGGGAACTAGAAGATTCATAGGTATAGGAGCACTTACTTCAGCAATGAACTATTTTCCTATTGAATCACTGTGGTATTTTCTTAACTCAATAACATAATGAAAGACCAGAAGAGAATGACATGTTTTGAATGTCAAAAGGAAATGGAAAAGGAGAGAAATTGAGGCGAGCATAAATGAACTTTCACACTCATCTCTTACATTTCTTTAACTTTGTATGTATAGAAGGGAAGGAGAGAGATTGTGTGTGTGTGTGTGTGTGTGTGTGTGTGTGTGTGTGTGTGTGTGAGAGAGAGAGAGAGAGAGAGAGAGAGAGAGAGAGAGAGAGAGAGAGACTGGTTTAATATATCTTGACTAGCCTTAGCTGCTGTTTTTAGGATATAGGCACCTCTATGAAAGGTGGCAATTGTGACAGGTATAATATTTCTGAGTCCTTGATAAATTACATAATCTAATACTTTCCACTAATACATGGCCTTTCTGACCTTTTGTGTCTAGATTGGAAGAAAGAAGGCTTAGGACACCATTGACTTAGCTAGGGAAATGTGAGAAGTGATTTTTTTTTTTTAAGATTCAAGATAGTTTCTGGGCTATTATAGATTTACTGTGGTGGGATATCTTGTGGCCCACTTAGAGTGCTTAGTTAGCTCAGAAAAATCATTGGAACTTTCTATTCATAGGTTTTTCCAAAATACAAGTATAATGTGTGATTACATACTCTGTTGGGACAATCACTGCCCCTTCCACACTTCATCCCATCCATACTTAATCTACCACAGTCTTTATCCCCTGCAATGATGAAAAGAAAGTGTTACCAAATATCAAAAGCAAAGCTTGTTCCCCACAAAATGCTATCTAGAGGAGGTTGATTATCACCAAGTGTTCTGCACATAGATACATTATCCTGAGTTCTAAAGACATTTTGAAAAACATGAGAGGCTTGGTTTTCTTTTGTAACATTGTATTCCACAGATAACCTAGATATTAAATTACTTGTTCTCCTCATCTATTGTTTCGAAAGAAAATGCAGACTTTTTTATTTTATAAGCTTTCTTTAACATAAACAGCAGTCTCTGGTAAAATGGTATTGCTATGCATTTGCATTGTTATAGAATTAAATTATGAATTCTGTCATTCAAAAAAGAATGCTTTATAAATCAAGTAAAATCTCATAACTAAGATGAATATGTTTTTTTTAAAATCTCTTGCTGCCTCATATTCCAGACTTTAGTTTTATAGCCCAACTTGATGTAATTTTTAAGGCATGATTATCCTTTTTTACCTATTTGTTTACCATTTTCGCTTTGTAAAAATGTTATAAGTGAAAACTAAAGTTGTTATATGTAAGGAACAGTGATATAAAAGCACAAAGGCATGTTCAATTCTTTATCTCTGGGTTGGCAGAAAATGTGCCAAATATTCTATACTCCCTCCCTTTCTTCTTCTCTGATTGCATTCATTCCAAATGGTATTAAAACTTTCTAAGTTCTCACCACAAATAATGAAATCCCAATTATTCTTTTTTTTCTTTCTTTTTAAAAAACTAATGTATTATTTGGAATTTGTGAGTAACAAAGATGATCTTGGGCTGGAGTTGTGGCTAAGTGGTAGAGCACTTGCCTAGCACACATGAGGCACTGGGTTCAACACCACATTAAAAAAAAAAACAAACTAAAAGACAGTCTTTATATACGTGTGTGTGTGTGTGTGTGTGTGTGTGTGTGTGTGTGTGTATTGCAGAAGAGTTAGAAATTGTATTGTGTGACCATATGTACTAATTGTGTTAACAAGCACTAGGTGGCTTGGTAATCCTAAAGCGATCCTGCTCAGCAGCTGCCTGATTTCTTTTCTCACTGCTGCTCTGTGAGTGCCCCAAAGCCTAGGGATTGGTGCAATGGCCCTGAATGTGCGTAAGCAGCAAGATGAAAGATAAGAAAAGGAGAAGGAAGGTCAGGAGTGAGGCATTTAGACCTGGTTGGGGGGCAGTATCTTCAAATGCTGCTGCAACTGGTGATGCAAAGTTCTGAAATTCAGAAGAGAGGTCAGAGGTAGAGATAGAGATTTAAGACCTGGACAGTTGCAGGGCAGGATGAAACTTTAGAGAAACTTTGGAACAATTTCATTTCTCCAGGAAAAAGAAATAAGAAGAGACAGCAAAGGATTTAGGCCTGAGCCTTGGGGAAATGTTTAATGTTGGGGTGTGGAAGGAGGAGGAGGAGGAAGCCTGAAGTAGAAATATAAACTAGCATGCCTGATGGTGAAAGTCACTAAGTGCCCTACCTCCTCCAGGCGGTGAATTTTAAGCCAGATAACCTCAGTTATGTGGGTGGAGGGTGGAAGATGTATACACTAAAATCCTGAGACCATCTTTGCCTTGCTGCAAGATATGATAGATGTAAAAACGAAGCTAATGGCTTACCTTGGAACACATTCATCTTGAAAAAACCCTCTTTATTGTCATTTTTAAGCATAGATGAGGATTTCCTTACATTCCCTACATGTGCTGAAATTATATAGCTATTCCTAGTCTCCTTGTAAGAATTCGAGAGGATTAAGTTAATATCATTCTTAATTCTTTCAACCTATAAATTCTTTTTTTTTCCAGGATTTGCAGAGAAATATAAAGGCAAATTGAAGTGGAAATATTATTAAACTTTTTGAAAATCATTTAAATTTGCTTATATCTAAATTGATCAAAAAGAGAAACAAAAAGATATCCACCATAGAAAGCAACAGTGTACCTTTTCATTTCTGGCACTAAGTTTAAGTTATATTCCACTTCTTGCCAGGGAGGTAAAACAATAGAGCTACCTGGTTCCAGTGATCTAATATGGTTAATGGATGCAGTTGGATAGGGGATCACTGCTAATGTTCCATAGCACAGTAAGGTAACTATGATTGACAATAATTAATTGTATGTTTTATTTATTTTTTATTGGTTGTTCAAAACATTACAAAGCTCATGACATATCATCTTTCATATATTTGATTCAAGTGAGTTATGAACTCCCATTTTTACCCCAAATACAGATTGCAGAATCACATCGGTTACACATAAACATTTTTACATAATGCCATATTAGTGTCTGTTGTATTCTGCTGCCTTTCCTATTCCCTACTATCCCCGCTCCCCTCCCCTCCCATCTTCTCTCTCTACCTAATCTGTTGTTGTTCAGTTCTCTCCCTTGTTTCTGCCCCCCTTTCCCCTCACAACCTCTTATATGTGATTTCGTATAGCTTTGAAGGTTTCCTTCCGTTTCCATGCAATTTCCCTTCTCTCTCCCTTTCCCTCCCACCACTCGCCTTGTTTAATGTTAAAAAATAGCTAACTAGAGAGAATTTGAATGTTCCTAGCACACACAAAAAAATGATAAATGTTTAAGGTGATAGACAAATTACACCAATTTGATCATTGCACATTGTATACATGTATTGAAATATTACACTGCATGCCATAAATGTGTATGATTCTTATGTGCAATTTAAAATATTTTAAATGTTTTTAAATGAATGAAAAAGTAAAAGAGATTCAATGCATGTATGATGATGTGGAAATGAACCCAGCTATTATGTACACCTGTAATGCACTAATAAATTCCTCTCCTGAAAATTCAAAAAGTAAAAATAAAATGAATGAGTGAAGTACCCCCCATCAAAAAGTTTGCATTATATATAGCTTTATAAAAGTTTTGAAGGCCACACCTGGATTCCCAGTGAACTTATAGGAATGCTTTCATGGCAAGAAAAATAAATATGGAGAAGTGATTGCCTAAACTACTTAAGCATCATAAATAAGAAAAATGCATAGCATGTGTTGAATGAAAAACACTTGGTAAACTAACTCGATTTTCTCCTGGGAATTCAGGTGGCCTAGTAACTTGCACTCTTGAGTCCAAAAAAAAATTGTCATTTTTCTCTCTCTTCCTCTCCCAATATCCTCATGCACTATAAAGAATCTTAGTATCTATAGGAATAAGAATTTCTTGTGGTTGTGTTTGCCATAAAAGAATTATAGTGGACCTAGTAATCCAAATGAGATAATTATTAGCTGCTGCATGTAGTGCTCATGAGTTGAAAACAACAATGGTTCACATGATAATGTGATAAACAGCTAGTCCGGTGACATTCTTTGCTACCACATAGTAAACACCATAATTGGCAGCCGTGTTAGTGTTTAGGTGACACCAAAGGCATGTTGGATTCTGTGGAACTGACATGTTATCCTGTCTTGAAGGTGTTTAAATCATCAATAAGACATCCAAATAGCTGAGAATCTAAAATATACTTTGGTTTCAATTATCTAAGTAGTGTAAGGCCTTTGCTTCTAGAGCCTGAAGAAAAAGTTGGCTGCCAGATATAAGGATTTATTTTTTGATTAACAGAATGTCAGTGGATTTCAGGATGCTTTTCACGTTGTAGATTTTGGGAAAAGAGCTCCTAGATTGCCCTCAAATAATGGAATCCAAAATTTATATATCTATGTGTGGATGGTTATTAAATGTTTTCCCTGGATTTTCTTGGTTACTTATACATGTGGATCCAAATCCCAAGTCTTCTTTAAAAACACATGATTTGCCAGCTCGTGATGGATGATTTTTATTTAAATTTGTAATTTATTTAAATTTTATGACATAATATTCACAATATTTTATGTTCTAAACATAACTTGATACATACCAAAGCAGAGCAGAGTGGCTAAGAGAAGGAGTTCTGGAATCAGACCAGCTGTGTTTTAGTTCTAGTTTTGTCACTTTTTAGTTGTGTGTGCATGGGCAAGTCACTTAGCCTCTCTTAATCTCAGTTTCCTGGCCTAGAAAATGAAGATTGTAAAAGTATCAGTTTTACACTTAGGAAGATGAAATAAGTTAATTCATGGAAAACATTTATGAAAGTTCTTGGCACATGATAAGAACTTAATAAATAAGCTCTTATTTCCTCAACCATGTAAGATTGTTAGAAATACTAAATAAAAACTTTGTCTAATTCTTCACTATTAGGGTCGGTGTACTCGCGAGAATTGCAAGTACCTTCACCCTCCTCCACACTTAAAAACGCAGCTGGAGATTAATGGACGTAACAATCTGATTCAACAGAAGACTGCAGCAGCCATGTTCGCCCAGCAGATGCAGCTTATGCTCCAAAATGCTCAGATGTCATCACTTGTAAGTCACAGCTGTCTGAAAGTTGTCAGTGCATATTGTGTGTCTTATGATGCTGGGAACTAGACCCAGGGCCTCATGTGAGCTAAGCAAGTGTGTCACCAGTGAACTACATCCCCAGCCTCATGTACTTTATTCGAAGCATATATATCTACATTGGAATAACCTTGTAGGCCTTTGGAAAGCTAGTTACTACAGGATTTAGGACTCAGCTCATGTTCATTGACACTTCTGAGTTGTGCATGTGAAGAGAGCAATCAGGTGCGTGGGATTGAAATCCTGGTTGCATTTATGCATGAGTTGATTCCTAGAAGAATATTAACAAAGGAGCAAGTGCATGTTAAGATGAAGAGAAAGATTGATTATTATTACATGGAAATCTTTGAATTCTAGGACATTAATTCAAACAAAATTCTCTGTTCTTTGATAGTTTTGTTGTTGCCTTTAAATAAACTTTTTATTTTAAAGTCATTTTGGATTCATTGGAAGAACTTTAAAAGCAGGCCAGAGAGTACCTGCATTATCCCTCACCCAGTTTCTCCAGTGTTTTGTTTTATGTTGGGGGGGTTTGCTTTGTTTTGTTTTTTACAGGGCTGAGACTGAAATTGGGGTTTTGAACATGCTAGGTAAGTGCTCTACTACAGAGCTATACCCCAGCTTCCCCCTGCCGTTAACATCTTAAAATACCATAGTAGACTTATCAGAACCAAAAAATTGAGATTCTCATATTACTGTTAACTAAACTGCTGGCTTTATTCCCACTTCACCATGTTTTTCAGTAATGTTCCCTTTCTATTCTAGTGTCTACTCCAGGATACCAGTACCACAGTACATTTGTTTGGATTCTGTCTCCCCTCTCTCTTCTGATCTGTAACCATTTCTCAGTTGTTTCCTATTTCGAATGACCTTAACTTTCTTGAGGAATACTAGCTAGTTATTCACTGGTGGTTTGTACTACTTAACCTAAATACAGAGTTTCCTTCTGCATAAAATTAGTAAGATTAATAAGTGTCTAGTATTTTGTGGATCAGTGAGTTTAAATGGATTTATAGAAAGCAATTAAGCTATATCTGTTCATATTGTCCTATTGAGAATTTATCTTGTCCTGATACCTTCAAATGTAATGTTGCATTTTGGCCCAACACTTCTCAGAGGGAATTGAAAACTGTCCCCTTTCTGCTACAATTCTTCAGCTCTCAGATTTAGCACAATGGTGTCTCATTCTAATTCCAGCTAGCCAAACATTTTTAAAATTAACAAGATAAATTTGAAAGAGCTGTTACCTTTCTTTGTTACCCATTCCATCAGTGACTATATAATAAACACTAAAAGCCAAAAGATACATGTATTATTTAGATGCAAAGAAAATATGGGAATAGGACAATCTGCTGTCAGCAAAACCTTATTATAAAGTTGGTTCTCAGAATTCAAGGAAATCTGGGTTAATGTAACACCCTTTAACTATCATGCCTGTATACATAAATGCAAAAAACAGTTGAGAGGGGCATTGATGTTTTGCACCATGATATTCTTTTTTCCAGAATGTCTAGACAGATTTAGGTAAATTAAATATATTTCATGTCCTGTACTCTTAGTTTGCCAAAATATTTGCCTTGGAACCCAGTGCTTATTAGTTATGTTGATAAATTGGTTCTCAGATCACCAATAGCCTCTTCAGAGCTCCTGTTTGACCTTCACTAATACTTTTCATTGTCAACTCCTTACCGAAACTCTTTCCTGGGCTTTCACACACTACGTTTCCTCCCTGGTTCTAAAGGAGTAGGGAAGGAAGACAAAGGCTCCTAGATATGTACAAAACAGAAGTGAATATGCTTGGTGAGTCCAGAAAATGTAGAATAAACCAGAGGAGCTTTTACTTTTTTCCATTTTATTGATATAATTGGCAAATAAAAGTATATATGTTTAAGATGTACAATGTAAATATGATATTTGTATAGTTTATTAAATGAGACAACATGGATTAGCTTGGAAAACATTATGCTAAGTGAAATAGGCCAGATAGAGAAAGAAATACTGCCTGACCTCACCTCTATGTGGAATAGTGAAACAAGTTTAACTCACAGGCACACAGAATAGAAGAATGGTTCCTAGGAGTTAGAATGGGGTTACGGGAATATTCTTCAAAAGTGACTATGACAAAGGAACGTTTAACTCAACATTGCTACCCTCATCCTCTTATGGGATGTCTTACTTTCAAATTGAGCAAGGATTGGAGCAAGATTTTATTGTCAAACACCTGAGCCCACCATATTTTATAGTGTTAGAGCAAATCTCTTTTCAAAGGTCAGGGGCTAGTTCAGGACACCAGTCAAATGACCTGCTTCAGGGAATCAGAGAGCAAATTGTAGGGTAAAGTAGTGGTAACTATACACCTTCCATTCAACTTCTGCCAGAGACTCTCCATTCAAAGTCTCAATCCTTCTTGCATTATTGATCATGTGGGATCACACTGGAGGAGTAGGGAGTGGTTTTTTTGTTTTTTTTTTTTTTTTTTAGAATCTGATAAGAAATTCATTAAGTTTTCTAGCCTCTTGATTTGTGCTAATTTTATTCAACATGATTTCTATAGTAGAATGCATTTCCTTTGGTTTTTTTTTTCCTCATTGGTGGTAATGTCAGATTTTTACTGCAGATGATGATTGATATGACTCACAGGAGTACAATTTATTTTATGGCATGTCACAAGATACAAGGCATTACTTAGAAGATCCCAGGGAACAATTAGAAATTACTTTTTTACCTCATAGATTATTTAATGATAGCCGTTGTGATGTGATAAACTGATAAAAGATTAATTTCTGCAGTTATTATGTGTACAAAATTCTAGCTGATATGCTCCTGCTCTGTGGCCTAGGAAGCTGCCTCATAGATGTTCTGTAATTGAGTTAATGCAAACGATTTTAAGTGGCATTTACCAGTCTGATCTGGAAGAAATCTTTTCATTATGGATCCTGATCCTGATATAATTACAGAAGTAAAGTTTAATTTTACTTAATTTCCCTAGTACCGACTCTCCACCAAACAACTCTTGCTCTCTTAATCACCCCATTACCAATAATTGAATACTTGTCCCTAAAATAGTCAAGCTTTTGTTTAAAATATTTCTAGTTCTTATATTTGTATGGTTTCCCAGTAAGACCCATTTATATTACTGGCTTAAACTTCAGGTCTTTCTACAAAGCATACTTTGATCTGTTTCTGGGATACCAGAAAAGCACATCTGCCTTTGCAAGATTGAATGTGGTTTGCTTATTATAAGCCCATAGATAAAGGGAATGTCAACCTCAATGGGATGGTAACTAGAGAGCAGATTCTGTTCAGTGTGACTGAACAATGAATAAAAGCCACACCTAGTCGATTTGTGTGGAATGCTTGCTGCAGCAGGCAAGTTTGTTCACTGTATTTAACAGGTCTGCGTTGACATTTGCTATTATAAAAATCCACCCTGAAAGCTTTTTGTTGGCTTTATTAAGAAAGTGAAACAAAGGACGTGACTCCCAAATATTTTTTAGTGCAATTTCAGAGATTGCTTGTAATATTCACAGCAAAAAAAGAATTATAACTTTAAAAACTCCCCCTTTTCATAATCAGAAGGCAAACATGAGCATTGTTGAAGAATGTTAGGAAAAGTAGACATACTGGATTACTCTCAAGCAAAACTAAAATTGGAAAATTTTAGTTTCACAACTAGGAATTTTAGTTATTGGGAGGAAGGATTCTCACTAATGGATGTGATACATGTGTCTGTGTGTACAAATATATGTACATATATGTTTATATGTGCATGTGTAGATAAAGTAGATATGATGTTATAAGGTTATTAGAATATTTTTATTTAGATATTTTGCCTCTCTAGATCTTTCCATATCTGGAAAATTCCTTTAGTTTCTTTCTTTGAATGTGGTGATTCACATGGAAGCTGATGCTGACATATAGGTGAACTTGACCCAGGAGAGTATATTCACCTGATGATTTATATAGAGGGTGTAGTTCAGCACATTTGAGGTTTCATTAAGGTGTGCCAAGTCATGTGATTCTGCTATTTTCATGACTTTCATTCCTGAGGCCAAGTTATGGAATCTAGACCATAAAGGATATAAACAAGCGTTCCATTCCTTGATTTTTCTTTTTCCTCTATTGAATCATTTGATGTCTGTCTGGACCCCTGCTCCCCTTTTTACATCATTTTAAATTTCTATCTACCAAATATATTTCTCAGAAATAGGATCACATGTTTACATTAATATAGTAAGGTATGGAAGTGATGCAACACTTCAGAACCAAAATAAAAAAAATAGGAAGTCAAGTAGATAGGAGGAGGGGAAAATACTAATTAATTACATAATAATAAATATTATTTTCAGATTCCAATGCCTTTAATGTTTTTCTTCTTTACTTAATTAAGCTCTATAAGGTATCATATTACTCAATGAAACTTTGGACTAGAACAGTTTTATGTGGCTGGAAATAAAATTGGAAAATATTTTTTTGCATTTTTTTATTTTTGAAAGTAAGTAGTTAAATAATTTAGGAGACAAAAACAAGAGGATAATCTCCTTCCCTCACCAAGATATATTCTACATTTGCCATATTTCTATTAGTTGCAATTTTTCTAGTTCACATTAACTCAATTTATCCACTAATATATTTATGTAATAAAGAGTAGTTATTGTCCTGGTTTATTTTGTATTAAAATTTACTATGAAAAGTGTGGGCCAGACATTTTGAAGACTTAATAGAAAAGAAAACCATGTCTATTGCTCCAGAACAACTTGGTCCTAATACAGGAGGACTGGCCCCAGAGTGCTAAGAGACCAAAGAAAGATGCAGACAAATCCAGGATTGCACAGAGTGTAATTGGATGTAATGACAGAAGCGTAGTCCTGGGCAGCAACTGAGACCAGCTGGATCCCCACAATTGGGTCACAGGGAAGTGCGTACATATTGGTGAGGACAAAAATGACTTCGTCCTAGCCAGAATG